GGCAGCAAAGAAACATCAGGAGGGTGATGGGCCGACTCATAGTCTGCATTACCAAGTAGTCTTCTTCGTTGTTGTATATATATTTTGGTTTGCATAATATTGTGTTTATCGATTTTTGGATTATATATATATATATATATATATATATATATATATATATATATATATATATATATATATATATATATATATATATATATATATATATATATATATATATATATATATATATATATATATATATATATATCAACATGCGAAACAATGCGAAAAATGCCTCTTGCCTGCATAACTTTTCTGCTACTGTCTGCATAGGAATCGAAAATACATTTACAGGTCCCTCCCGTAATTGCATTTCCGGTTTTAACTAATGTTTAACAAAAAAAGGTGCGTTCCAGAAATACATTTCTGATTACGCAAGGACATTTTCGGAATTGCAACCATATAGGGTGGGGTATAAAATTCCCTTTGGTAAAAAAGATCAAGGCCCGAGTCAATAGCCTATTAAAGACTTGTTTTTAGGGGATTATTCAACACACCTCATGACTTACTCACAAATCTCGACGAAATTTAAAAAAATACCCACATATTTTGAATTTTAAAATTTGTATGCTTCCGAAATACATAACAATCCTTGAAACACATCAAAGCAAATGTTAAAAAAGAGTTCGGATTTTGGACTTCCGACGTTCCCCACCATATCACACATAAAATCAATCTTCCATGATGTTCAATAATTTGTTCGGATGTCAAAATCAGGATTCTTCCCTCATATTACTAATTAATCACAAACTCATCCTGAATGCAATATGGAATAATATTCAAGATTTTTTTTTGGATTTTAAAATCTAAAATATATAGTGTTATCACAAAACTAGAAGCTATTTCAGACAAGATATAAAGAAAAACACAAGTTACCATAAATATTTGTTATCACATACACAAAATATATAACATTATATATATCTTTATTAACATAAATCTAACACGATATTTCATGATCAAGAGATAGTTGAGGATGTTTCAACATCTTTAGAATATCGATGGTCAATCTTGCCACTGTTAGATCCATCTTGATTGGACCCTTTGTTACGTAACAATGAAATACACTCCACATGACTCTTAAATCTTCATATGCCTTTAACTGAAACTTGTTGAACTTCACCTTTCCTTTATTATCAATCAAGGGATAACAATACTTGATGTTAACTACTCTTTGATTATCTGGGTATTACAAGAGATTCTTCAGTTTGGATTTCAAATCTACAAAATGGTGTCCTTTGTGACCATATATTGAAGAGATAACCTCACAACATTGAAGTATACAAATACGATAAAGCATTTTTTTCATTCCGCTGTGTTTTTATTAACAACATATGTGACATATTTATACAAGTTTTAGATCAATATAGAATATACAAAAGCAATCATGTCTCAGGATATTTTGAAAATCAAAATATGGATACAATCAGGTACAAATAAGAGTTTGTATGGATATTAAAATTCGGATTAACCATTTTACGTATGAAATAACACAGTAAAAATAGGGTTTATTTGGATATTAAAATACATATTCACCCATTACAGAATGTGTTTTTGCAAACAAACAATTTTAGACACAAACTGAACCTATTTTTTAACAGAGAAAATTTAAAGTCCAACTTTTATACATAATGTTAGATATATATTAAAACACATCAAAATATATTTGAATTACATCGTTGAAAATGATAATCCAACATTATATATAAAAATGTGTCACCACCAAAATGTATTATATGATAAAATTAAAATGCATCAAAAAATATGTCACCACCTAAATCTATATCTATGAGTGGTTTCACCTTTGAATTTTTCTTATCTGGTTCTATTTCGATTTTACTCAACTCGGTAAACTCTTCAAAAGTGAATTTGATTGCAACACATTATTTTGTTGCACGCAGGGGTTAGTTCTCAACACATAAATGACAAGAATGAAAGACAAAACAAAGGTTAACTTCAAGGGGAATGATTATTATATTTTATCTTCAATGATGAATCAACTAATGATGCTTGAAATGAAGGGTTTAAAGTCAAGGAGACTTACCTTGAAGCTAGAATTTGTGTTTTGAACTTGAGTTGCTGCCTTGAGTATTCTTGAGCTTGGAAAAAACAGAGATGTTACATAAGTTGTTCTTGTGTTTGAGCAACCTCTATATGATGTATGTGGAGGTACTTAGATGTTTGGAAAAAACTTGCCAAGTGTGGGAGGTTCAAGGACTTTGATTTCAAAGCTCAAGAGTGGAAGCTTTATGGACAATTATGACTTTTTTGAAGGTGTGAGATTTTTGAGGGCTTGTCTACACAACAACACTTTTGGCTTTTCTCTATTTTTCTCGCCTCTTTCTCTTGCAATTGGCCTCTCTATTTATAGTGAAGGTTTGAGACCTGAAATAACTCAGATTTTGAATCACATGTTATGGCTATCTTGCTTGTTTTTGAAGCAAAATGACAAACATCTTCCCAAAGCTTGTACCATGCTATTATAGAGTGGTTGAACTTTTAGCATGCTTGCTCCTGATCTTGTACATGAAGTTTGTGCAGAAAGAACAAGTCCAATGCTCAAGGAGAGTGGACTTTGTGATTAAAACCACTTTTTCAAAATAGAAGTGTGAACTTTCTTCCAAAAATGGAATGATCAATTGGATAATGGTCCAAACACTTGGATTATAGCTCAATCAGTTGTGTAAGCATTCAATTATGGAGTGAAATGAAAGTTAGAAGCCTGCAAAGATGGGATTTATACAACATGCTTGAAGATTGAATCAAGTGTTCTTCACAAATTTGCCTTGTAAATCAAGAATGAATACCCAACTTCAGATCCTTGAATCTCCTAACTCAAGTATGATAAATTCATGCTCTTGGATGTTTTGGAAAGCTTGAAACATCCTCTACAATTTTCATGTTTTTCAATTTTATTAAATCAAACTGGAACTTAATGAAAACTGACCAAGAAGTTAAGATAAAAAAACCTGACCAAACCTGCTGAAAATTTCTCCAAGTGTTTAATAAAAAATGCCATGACTTCATGAATTTATAACTTAAAATCCAAGCATTCTTAAAAAAGGTCCTGCCCTACAATGTTTTAGATCTCATTGAGATCTATAACTTTCATGTTGAAAGTTTTCCTTGAATCATCTTGCATCATGGTGAAAATTTGGCACAAAGTCATGAAAAAAAAGTTAACTTTCTAACACTTAGAAAAATTTATAAGTCTTAGAATTTTGACTTTTCAAAGATAACTTTAACTTTTTGATTTCTTGATGAACAATCTTCATATTTTGACATGTCATGATGAAATATGATTTTTGAAACTTGATTTTGATTAAAAATTCAAAGTTTGACTTTTCAGTGTACAATTGACTTTTTTATCAGTTGACCAAATTTTAACTATCTGTCAATTGATCTTGAGAAGTATTTTGAACCATACCATTAGGTCAAGAGGATGCATTTGAATCCTTCATATCATGTCTCAAACCAATAAGTCATGTATTTGGTTAAAAATAAAAAATTGAGTCTTCTTAGTAAAAACCCTAATTTTGACCATTTGTCCCTTTGGTGATCTGATCAAATTTCTTGAGGAATTGTGATCAAAACTTGATCAATTGACATATATGAGTTTAGAATGTTGATATGGATAAAAAAATTATGAAATTTGACTATAAATTGACCACATTTGACTTTTTACCTAACATCGTGATTTTAGGTCAACTGATCAATTGACTGAGCAAAAATGTGATTCAAAGCTTAAAACTTAACATAAGCAATCTTGAAAAAATGAGATGACAAATTTTAGAGTATAATATATATATATATATATATATATATATATATATATATATATATATATATATATATATATATATATATATATATATATATATATATATATATATATATATATATATATATATATATATATATATATATATATATATATATATATATATATATATATAAAACTAAAAGTAAATAAATATTAAATATATTATACTAAAAAATAATATTATTGTAAAATTTAAAATAAATATAGACACTTAAATATTTATTTGAAACGATAATGTATTATATATTTTTTTACAGAATTTCATTTATAAATATAAATTTTTACAAAAATATATCATTTTGATAACTAACATTTATAATTGATAATTAATATATTAGATTATATATTTTTAATGCAAATAAATATATAACGAAGTCAAATAGTCCGGTGACTAAAAATATTGTTAGTATATATATATGATTCCTTTGGCCACAAAATTTTAAAAATTTTACTTAAATATTAAAATAATAATAAAAAAATGAAAAATAAAATATAAAATTTTAATTGAGCGCAACATCGCAATAACAAAAATTTTAAAAATAAAAAATATTACATAAATAGGCGACGTCACATATTCTTTTGACAAATATAATGAAGAATCAAAATAAAAGAATCTTAAAATGACAAAAATGAATTTTGTGTTTTTTGTTACATAATTGTTTTTGAGATTTGTTCCAAATGACGGGGCGAAAAGACGTATTAATTTATTTTAATATATGTAAAAAAGAATGGAATGAAATGGAGTGCGTAATTAGTGAGAGGATGCAAATCCTAAGTTAGGTAAAAAAAAACCCAATTTATTACAGCAGCAGCAATTAGAAGCAGTGTTTTCAAAGCTACAAATAGAGTAAGTTACCGATTGACTTGATGATGAGGTGAAAAGAAAGATTCACATGAAAGAAGATATGGATCTACGAATAATAGCCTCGTAGACATCGCATCGGGAAATACGTCCTTGTAGTTGTTGTTGCACTTCGCTCCACATCCAACTCCAACCAAACCAAAAGCCACTTCACACTCCACTCTCATGCTAGTTTTCTAACTCTAACTGTCACTATTCCACTTGTTGGACCTTCTAACTCAGATCTGGTTCTTAATTATTCAATTTCAATTATCTGTAATTGGATTGGCGTAGATGGAGGGAAACTCCGGTGGTGGCGGTGGTGGTGGTGGTAGCGGCGGTGGTGGTGGTGGTGGTGCTGATGTGGAGCTTCTTTGCAAGACGTTACAGGTTGAGCACAAGCTGTTTTACTTCGATCTGAAAGAGAATCCTCGTGGTCGTTACCTGAAGATTTCTGAGAAAACTTCTGCTACTAGGTCCACCATCATCGTTCCGTTTTCCGGCATTTCGTGGTTTCTCGATCTCTTCAATTATTACGTTAATCCTGATGATCAAGAACTTTTCAGCAAGGAATTGCAGCTTGATACCAAGGTGGAGTCAATTTAGTAATTCACTTAACCTAATTTCTTATCCTTTTTCTCTCATTTTTTTTCCTCTCTACAGGTTTTCTATTTCGACATTGGGGAGAATAGGAGAGGCCGTTTCTTAAAGGTATTTTCGCATTCTCTATTACTCTCACTTATATGTATTTTGCTGTGATATGTTTGTATCATTTGATTCTAATTAAGAAGGTCAAAACATCTAGACTTTCTAGAGTTTTTCGATTGGCCATTTTAGCTAATGCCTTTGGTGTATCTGATGTCCCTCACAGCTACCAAGCGGAGTTTGGTGTATAACATGTGGGAATTAATGACCTTGGGATTTTTAATGAGGATTACTTGTCAAAAAGGGAAATGGAAATTTTAATTTAGATTTTGCTGTAAATGTTAGTCTTGAGTTCTTGTTAGACATTCCTAATGTGGTTGCTTGAATTGCATAATACTATTGTAAGATCTAGTAATTTGAATTTCACAGCATTCCTGGTCATAATGGTGGGTAGATAGATAGAGAGTAAATTGTTCTTGCCTGTGTTTCTGCAAAATTACTTTAGTAGCGGTGGAAATCAAACACCTGCACAACAAGAAGTTGAATTTGTATCTCGAGCTCTGTAACTGCAAGTTAAACCCCCTGTTTACAATGAGAAAACTAGAACATAATATAAATAATTTCATGTTGAAGTCCTGCTGTGGCTGGATTTCTGATTTATCATAGGCATTGACTTCTGAAGCTTAGTTTAGATGATGTCTGTTTGGCGATTGTTGTAGGGTTGCTTATGGGTTTTTTTTGCTAAAAATCCTCATCAACTTGGCTTTATGCTAAGATACTCTCCATTGACCTTCGACTTAATCTTACCACGCAACTTATATCAAACCTACACAATTGTTTAATCTGCATCTTGTATCATCAATATATTGATCCTTTATTCCTTCCTCCTCCTTCAAATTGTGTTTCTCGATTTCTCTTCTAACTCCAAGGAGTCTGGAAGAAAATCAGGGAGTTTTCTCCTTTATTGAGCAGTACAAAATTTGTGGAAGTGGACCTTTTATTTTGTTTGCGTAAAATCTTCTGTGTTCATTATTAAGGGGTATCTTCAATATCCTCCTTTATATTCTTTTTGCATGTTTGTTGTTCCTATCAAATACTTTCCTGTTAAATACCAGGGGCAGGTGGTCATTCTGTATTGGAAGTTTAGGGATGTTGCCATTGTTGGTTGCTGTCTGTTTTTGCACGTGCTGTTACACAATAGATTTTTCCCTATATTTGGTGCAACATCATTTCTTATTACAATTTCCTAACTATAACAACCAAAGGCTTATCCCTCTAAGTGGGGTCGGCTACATGGATCAACATTACAATTTCCTAACAATTGAACGAAAACCAAGCTTTAAAGCATGCATCACAGTGGAATATAAAAATAACAGTAAAACTGGTCTGCACTACACAGAAGTAGCCATGCAGTAAACTATTATATACTGTAATCCCTTCATCTTCTATATTGGTCCCTGTTAATAGATTTGAATTTGGTGACACACGTGATGGTAAGTAGCATCTGCCAGAACTTTTGCAATCAACTCTGGTAATTGGTGTTTCTAATTAACCGAAATTGTTCTAATGAGGCGACATGTAGTCTCTCGTAATAAGCTGTTATCTTGTTTTGCATCCTTTTGGCCTTAGCAATTATGTGTATTTTGGAATATCTATTTAATGGAATATTGTACATGTATGCTTATTTTATTTCAATATCACGACTCTAATTTATTTTGCGAAGGTGTCTGAAGCGTCTGTCAGCAGAAATCGTAGCACGATAATCGTTCCTGCGGGAAGTTCCAGGGATGAAGGGTGGACAGCCTTCAGGAACATTTTGGCAGAGATTAATGAAGCCTCAAGGCTTTTCCTTCTGCCCAATCAGGTTTCCTTACCCGTTTTTCTGCTTAGCCACCAACATTTTTGTAGCTGTCTTTTTTTGTGTTAAAACTCATCTATTGTTTGTATTTCACAGCAGCAAAGTTCTGAATCCTCAGAGCGATTAGTTGGACTTTCGGATGATGTTGGTGCTGGCTTCATATCTGGTCATAGTACTCAACCTGCCACCTCCTCTGAATTGAATGTTGACAGGTCTGTTGATTTGCCAGCTCAGGAAGAAACTGGGAACTTGGGGGTCTCAAAAGTGATCAGGGCTGATCAAAAAAGATTTTTCTTTGATCTTGGGAACAACAACAGGGGCCATTTTCTTAGAATATCTGAGGTATGTTGTTGCCATTATGATTTTGTTGTCCATCTTTCTTTATTTTGGTATAGTCTGGGTAGAATATTTTCTGCTGTAAATTCTTGTTACTTCATTGCAGGTTGCAGGTTCTGATCGGTCCTCCATCATTCTTCCACTGTCAGGGCTCAAGCAGTTTCATGAGATTGTTGGTCACTTTGTGGAAATCACTAAGGACCGAATTGAGGGTATGTCAGTTGCTAATGTCCGCACAATTGATCCCCCTCAAAGATGAATGCTAACTTGGGGCTTGTGGTGACAATAAGAAGTCCCCCTCTGCCAAGGTTACGTCATGGATATATGAATTGGTGTTGTCTTTGAATCTGATTTGTGCTATTTTATTTTATTTTTCCTTAGCCTCTTTCTATTTATAATATTGTTCTACAATTAACGCTTTTGAAATAAACCAAACACTTGTTGGTCCGCAGAATAATGAGAATATCTCTACAAGGTTAACTTGAATAGGTAATAACGGAAGAAAAACAGACGAGAAACTTGTACTTGATTGGATAGTTTGGCAATGGGACTATACTTTGTAATAATGATTGTTTATTTTGCTTTCCTGCACATATTTCATATGGATTTAAGTTCTCAAACAGGCTGAGGTACCCAACACCTATTTAGATCATATTTTAGGTTTTACTGTATTATTTACATATTTCGTATGGTTACTTTCCTGTCATGCATGAACTGAAATTTGATCGTTATACCTCTTTCTATTCATATTTATATTACGGGTGTTTTTAAAACCCACCCCGGAAGGAGTGAAATAATGGGAGCTGCTTTCAGAAGTGAAAAAGTTGAGAGTAGCATGCGTTATCTTGTTGGCGGAATCGGGAGAATGGGAGCAATTAAACGGAAGTCAATCCACTTGAATTAAAGAGCATTACTATCCGGTTGTTTTCAAATACGTAGTAGTTTTGGCCTTTAGTTTGATGGACATACACCGAAAGTGCAAAAAAGTTTTATGCTGTCGTTCAATGGGAATATAACATTTTGTCATGTCATATAGTTTATTTAAAATTTGCAGTCTGACTTGACAAAATACATAGTTGTCATTGGTTGACAATGTAAAATTATTTTACACTGTCAGTGTATATATTTTTTCTTTTTTCTTTTTAAAAATATGTTTAAAGACATAGAAAGAAGAGCAAAACAAAATACTTTTTCTGTTTTATGATTTTTAATCAATAGAGTATTCTAGAGCAAAATTGTGTAGCACTATTTTGGAAGCATTAAAATTACTAAGTTAGCTCTTGACTCAATTGAGCTGAAATGGTCGAGCATTTGTGTGGGATATTTAGTGTGAGAAAAGTTTCAGAGATGTGAAGAAGAGGTTGACTATAACACATGTCTTAATCTTATAAGATACGAATGAACTATTTGTAGTATATTGTGATGCATCTAAGATGAGTTTAGACGGTATATTTATGTAGAGTGACAAGGTAGTGACTTATGCTTCACATCAGTTGAAAGTTCAAGAGAAGAACTATCCTACACAAAACTTAAAATTGGAGACACTGGTTCAATGATCATAAGAACTTAAAATATCTTTTTGATCAGAAGGAGCTTAATATGAGACAAAAGAGACGGTTATAGTTCTTGAAGGACTATGACTTTGGTTTAAATTACCACTCTGGTAAAGTCAATGTTGCAGCCGATGCTTTGAGTCGGAAATCGTTGCACATGTCAGCTATGATGGTGAGAGAACTAGACTTGATCGAACAATTTAGTGATATGAACTTAGTGTGTGAGGTGACTCCTAATAGTGTGAGTTTGGACACGCTGAAGCTTACTGTTGCACCCCAAAATTTACCATTCTTATTATATTTCTAATTGACTTATGTTTCTCTTCACATAAATATCCTCTATTAGGTCATCTAACTATGCATGCATTCATTTACATTTAAGGGTTGTGACATTGGATTAACGGTCATTGAAGGATCTAGAGTTTCATGTGGCTTAGGGTTTTTACACTATGTAGGATTTTTAAATGAAGTTCTCATTAATCATGGATTAAGGGTTTGCTTCCTTATGCTTGGAATTATCAGATGAGTCTTGGGGTTTGGTCTTATAATCATCATGTGAGGTGTAGTTTCATTGTTTCTTGTGGTACAAGTCATTCTATGGGGCTTCATTCAAAAGCTTTGAACTGGGACATAAAGTTCTTAGGGATTATGGATTGAGATACACTTCCATTGTGTTTGCAAACTGTCAGTGATTTAGGGTTTTAGTGACTAGTATTTGGGTTTTCTTCTCAACATTGGATGTCACTCATTAATCAAGACATGGTTCATCTTCATTTGAGTCATGTCTAACTAACTGAGTCACGCAACCGAGTCCACTATAATTAACTTCATAACCGCTCATTTTCCACCCTTAGATCCATAACAAAATGGATTCAATCCAACAACCCTCAATGCTCATCACCAACCTCTATAAACTAACCTCCCTCTTCATTCATCCAAACACACCTTTATCACCATTTTCCCCCTGCAAATTTCTCATTCTCTCTCTGAATTCTTCATCTTCAACCTTCTCTGTTTCTCTCTCAGAATCTCTATCACCCCATTGTACGCTCACATCACATAGAATCCATTGAAGCTTCTCATTGAAGCTCCAATTGGTTGAGCTTCAACCTCACAGTATCATCACTCCATATTTATACAACCACACAAGCACACATAAAGAAAACAAAGAAGAAAGGTAGAAGAAGAAAGAAGCAGAATATCAAAAGAAGAAGGTACAAAGAAGAAGCATAATACCTTGAATTTCACTGCATCTCTGGGTTTCTTATTGGTCTTCATCGACTTTGAAGAGTCATTGGAGCTACTCCGATAGGCAAGTCATGTTTTCCTCCAATCCTCATTCTCTTTTCTTGTTTCTCCACGATGTAGCCTGAGGCGTCATAAGCGTGTCCCTCAAGGTCTCAGTCCTAGATTTGCAGCCATTGCCATTTAATTTCCCTTTTGGTTAGATCTATGGTTTTCCTTTTATGCGGATTCCAGAAGATTGAAGATGAAATGGTGAAAATGAAGTGGAGGTTTAAGAAGGTGAGGCTGCTACAAAGCTATTGGAGGTGGTAATCGAAGATTCTGAACACTAGGACCAGTGCGGAGGCGAGGTGATCAGAGAAGAGAGAAAGGTCTGAGAGGGCAGAAAGCGTGGTTTAAAAAATAGTCCAAGAGTCACTAACCATAAAACACTAAAACACCACCGTTTCAACCTCCCTTTCTTTTTCTTTCTATTCCTTAAAAAATTGAGTAATAAATTTCAAATGAGTAAATATCTAATGATGGATTGAGACTTGGATATCCAACATTGGGCTTGGAACTATGAATTACTACGCTTACCCCTGGTAGCCCAATGCCAATTTTCTTTGGTTTTTTTTGGTTGAACTGATAAAAAACTGACTCTGGACTCTTTGTTAGGCCTTTGCGCCAACTTCTGACCATAACATCCTGACTCTTCTTTGCACCCTCTAAAACTGTTGTTTTTTTATTTCTTTTAAACCTTGTTTCTTTGGATTTTTGATTAATCATTTTTGTGTGATATTTCTTCATGTTTGTTCAAATTCTTTACATGAAAAATGACAAAAATGATTAGAATTGATTTTAATTCTTTTTAATTGTTTTGGTGTATATGCTCTATTAGGTGATTCCATTAAGCGATTAAACTTTGTTTTGCTCGTTTAATATTGAATTAGAACTTTAGGATCTATCTTGGGTATGATAACTTTAGGTAGAGATTCCCCTTTGAAAATCTCAATCTTAGGATCATTTGGTATGATAATATTAGGTTAGTATTTCTCTTTTGTTTCTTCATTCATTTGTGCACATTAAGACTAACATTCCTTTTCTTAATAAATCATCAAAACACTCTAAAAATACGAGGTGAGTCGTATGCCATTGATTATTAAGCAATGGGAAAGAATGAGAGGGTGTATTCCGATCTTGTTCTTTTTCCTTTCCTAGACTTTAGTGCGATTAAAATCACAATTTTTTTTACAAATAAAGGTGGAGAAGTAGCTAAGGTCCCCTTGTATCGGGGACCATTTACTATCCAGTCCCCAATAAAACACTTCAACAAATCTAAACCTTTTTTCCTTTTGGATTCTTTTTAAAACCTTTTTAGAAAGGGCATGTTAATTTCATTCTAACGCAAACAAACAATGTCTAACTGCTAGAATGCGAACTTAGCATCATCCATAAAAAACAATCAACAAACAATTCTTTTCTAGATGAACTACGAAGCTCTGATTTTTCTATTTCATTATGGGGATACGTATGCACATGATTCGGGAAATCTTGGCGAGCTCAATAATAAAAACCTTTTATTTTACTTTAATCAAATCATCCATGCATTTCTAGCAAGTAAGTTTTAGATAACACACCCTTAGAAACATACAAGCAAACTGGATCCCGTTGAGTACAACAGATGTGAGGTGTGTTAATACCTTCCATTTACATAATTGAATTCCGAACCCGTATCTTGGTTGCAAGACCATCTTATCCTTCCTTTTGGGGTTTTCTCGATATTTCCCCTTCCTTTTGGGATAAATAAAGTTTGATGGAGATCTATGTTTTTTCGCGTAGTAACTGCTGGCATCTCTATTGGGGAATACCTAAGAAAGTCAGTCCTAGATTTATTTATTCATTTCTTTGGGTGTTTATTCTTTATGCTTTACTTGATTTATTTATTGCATTTTATTATTCACATATTGTGGATGTGTTGTACTGTTCTCTTTGTGGGATGGGTGTTACTATTGAGAGATAAATCCACTACCCAGGCTTGAGTATACATACAAAATAGAGTGGATAATATGTCGCCTAATGGGTGTATTCCCTACTAGTGCGACACGAGACCCACACTCAGACTAGGTCCACTTGGGGGTACTGTTGTCATGTGTGTATTCGTTAGGACACTGTATTTTCACTTGGACCCACGACTCTGGGAACCTTTTAGGAACTTCATTTTCAAGGCTAGAACCCACATGTGAGGGGATATGGGTTTTTTGCAGGAAACCTAAGCCTTCATCCTACCTTGTGTTCGTATTCAAAAAGTGGGCCGAACTTTTGAACTTATATCATTCAACCTGCTTTGAAGATCGTACAATGGTTATCTAGAATTTGTGGGACCCTTGATCCATGTGTTCCATATCATAACCTGTGATCTCATAACCCTTGGATCCCATGCTGTTGCATACTTGATCCCATGCTTCTTCATAACATGACA